TTAAATAAACAGGAATCATTCCTTTCATAAGTAAGCTGTAAGGAATATTTTAGTGGTTTGCAAAGAGAGGTTTCTGCGGAAGATTTTCGCCTCAGCTGAATGTTAAATGAAAATGAATATTAATTTTTGAAAAATGAAAAGCATGACAAAAATGACTTGAAGAGGTTTATGAGGCTAGTTTTGGCAAACATCAGGTTTCACTAGTGGATATGATTGCATTTCTGAATTGCACGAGTAGTATACAATATATTAAGTTTCTGCGCATTTATGTGACATCCAGAAGGGTAGAGCTGAGCTATCGCGTTCAATATGATCATTGATTGAGAATTAATTTAACGTTGTCTGCTCAAGTAAGTTTTTGTTTCAAGGCATAAGTAACGAATTTTTCAAAGACAGCGACAAAATTTGCTACACAGTTATGCCTTTTAAAGCGAGTTCTGTTGCAAATGCATAGGACAGCAACGATTCTTATAACTTCCCACATAAAGGGGAACAATTTTGAAACAGTTGTACTATGAAAGAACTTTTGAAAATTTATTCATAAAAATGGATAAGGCATAGTGTTTGGGCATTTTAAATTGTGGAATGGATGAGCAGATTTTCTCACCCCCTCCAATACACCCATACATGTCTGCTTATATGATGAATGCTTTAACACTGTAGCGATTTTGGTACAACTTTTTTCATATAAGACTCCTCGCGAAAAGTGAGTCTGTGTGTAGCAATAAAATCTAATTTACTGAACTTGATGACACAAATAGATGAAAATGAAAAAAATTTTCACATGAAAATGAATACTGGATTGTGTTGGTTGAAGTGGTTTGGCGTACCATTAGATAGCTGACCTTACTCGACTATAATGTTGTTTTTCATAGAAAAGGGTTTTTCAAATGGAATTTTATATCGTAACAATTGTCCCATTCAATCTGTGTTCGGTCGGTATGATAAAGGATGGATTTCTCTCAAATCCTTCTTCTTGTTGTTATAAACACTTCTGCATTACGAACGGTGTAGGACATAAAAAGTAATATAAATATTAATAATTTATTAACATAGCGACTACGAATAAAACCGTTAAGGCGTAATTATGCGAAAGATTGCTTTACAGCAACACACACATCTAATAAAAGTTAAATAGTTTATTTGTGCCCTCAAGTTGAATTTCATTGCGCTATTCTGCCATATTAGAAGGCAGCAATAAAGGTAAATAACCCTTAATAAATATAGTCAGGTGGGAAAGTATTTTGTAGCTATTCAAGTTTAAAGACTTAGGCTAAATAGGGAAAATTTTCTTTTTCATTGAGAAAATAAAGTTCCCTAAATAATGAGAAAGATTAAGTAGAAACACTGTAGTGGGCCATGGCCCACCATCAACTATCCTACAACACTCTACAGTCGTTTATTTAATGACATTGCCAAATGAGAAGTGATCGGGAATTCCAAGAGCTATCCTCCTTCGGCCAAAACACCTGAACAAAATTAATCAGCATATACCTAAGGCAAGACAGACAGATGGACAGACGGATTAAGAAAGTGACCCATAATCGATCAGTATAATGAAAGGTGGATCAATCCCAACCTTTTCTGGGTCTTGCATACACACGCACAAACTTAATATATCCTTGTCACACAAGTGGTATAAGGTACAAATGTTAAATTTCTCAAAGAGCCGATGGCCTATGTTGCCAGTGCTCAATGTCTAAGAATTTATTTCATTAACCTAAAATTATAATAATAATAATAATAATAAATTTCCAAAAAAGGAAATAGTGGGTTCAGATTTTGGCATAATATTTCATTCTGTTTAAGAGCACCTGGGTAAACTAAGCAACGACAAGGGTATTCCAATCTTACTACTAAGAAATGTTGAGGAAAAAACTTTTTATTTACTTTATAAAATATTACAGTAAATTAACTTTATTTTCTTAAATTTATAGTTCAACTTGTATACAGAGGATATAATTACATCTTCATTCTACTTTTCAGGCTTTCAAGTTGAAAGGAAGAGTGGGAAAAAAAAAAAATGAAAAGCGAAAGTAAAAAAGAAATTATTTTATTTCTTAAGTATTTTAAATGCACTTAAGTTGATGTTTTCGCCCTTGCTGCTGCTGAAGGGTTCGTCGTTTCAAATGTTTAATTATTTAATCATAAATAGTTAAGCAAAAGCGAGTGAACATAAAATTTGCTACCCGTCTTAGGATAGCAGAAGAGGCTTTTTTATCTTGTTTGTTACACAACACAAAAAATTGGAATTAGATTCTATACTAAACAGATTAAAGAAACGCTGACCTAGCCTAGCCTAGGCTGAAACTTGAATTACATCTTCTACCTCAGTCATCTATTCTTCCGTCCGTCTGATTTTTGTTGTCTGACTTATGTGTTATCCAGTTTGCCATAAATGATCAGCATAGAGTTTTCTTTAGTTTAAGCTAAGGATAGAATGTGAGAATGGCATTGAGCAACAAAAAACAAAACAAGAAAAAAAAAAAAAAACGCGAAGAAAGAAGCAGATAAAGAAAGAAAAGAATTTTTAAGTAACGGAAAGGAATATTTTTCGCTCCAAACATAGTGACTATCGGGTTTCCGTTTTTCATCTTTGGTTAAATTTGGTTCGCAACATGGAAAAATAAAATTTTTATCCATCGCCTTAAAGAGGTTTACTAATCTTTTATATACCTAGTAAAGTACTTTGAAAGCCAGACAAACCTTTTTTATCTGTACGGAGTTTTGAATTGTCTTGACTGAACTTGGTTCCATATGTCCGCCTCAGATGCGTTTATGAAATGTGCGTATTAAGGAAAACTCAAAATGATCACAATGCAGTAAAATTGAGATTTTCTTTTGAAAGTACGCTTTTAGGAAAATATATTAAAATTTCAAAAAAAAAAAAAAAAAAAAAATACAACAAAAACAAACAACGACTGGCTCGAAAGAGCTTCATATGTCATAGATTTCATCTGCCATACGAATCACTCGAATCATTTCGATTGTATTCAATTAAATGCTAGCAAAGACTTACACTTCCCGGTAAGTGTTTATTTATCAATTCGAAACCATCGAACACAATAACCATTTAGCATCTTGATGTTCTCCACAACGCTTAAGGATTTGGTTGTGATAATCCCTTTTAAAGTACTTTTTAGTGTTATATAAATAAAAGTAGAAAAAAAGAAAAACACAAATTTATATTTTGCCAAACACTTTGCACGGAAAACCATAACACACACCTGCCAGCCGTACGGGAAGAAAATTTCATATCGAGTTAATGCTAAGTAAAACTGTAATAATAATAAAATCAAAATATTTTACATCTTTTTCTTCACACATCCTGCAACCATAGAAGAAGAAAAGGTTTTGCCCTAACTCAGCGTAAATATACTTAAATTGCATTTTCTATCCACCGGGCACCGGGACGCCCTATCATGATTTTTGATTTTTATTTCAAACTTTTTATTTCATATATATATATATATAAATCGTGAAATTGATATAAAACGCCTTTCAATTAATTCTCACCTTACCGTCAAGATTATATAATAGTTTATGGCTTTACGTTTTACTAGCGCTGTAGGTTTTCAATTCTTTAGAATTATTATTATTGCTCTTCATCGCTAACAATAATAATAGTTGCGAGCGCGGAATGTTATGTTTGTATTAGTATGAATTATGACTTGCAAGTGCGAAAATAAATAAGTTGACCTTCTATAGCTTCATCCCAAGAAAATAGCTGAAGGTTTTAAGTAATACTAGACGTAACGTTAAGCGCAACACATCCTATATAGGGGCTCCTGTTATATACTATTTTGCTTGTGCGCGCACTGACTGAATGTAAAAAGCAAACGTAAAATATGTTAATGAGAAACAATTGTGAATGGAAGAAGTGCTCCTTAAAATAATACAAGAAAACAGGTGAAGAGCTAAGAAAACATATCTTAAAGCAAAATAATTTACGGTTTGTCGGCTTAAACTAGCACTGTATATATGTATCGGTTCGGCAAATCAGAATTATTTTCACACTTCTCTTCTGCATGAATATCACTCTCAGATATTTTAATTGGATATTCGCTGGGACTTGTAAGTTACGTCTTCTGTTCTCAAGCGACTTTGTTGACGGAATGCTTTAGAAAGTCGCGTTTATCCTGATTAATTGTTTTAGGTCAGTACGTTTGAAACATTGTGTCGAATAATTTAAAGTTTAATTTCAAGAAAATTATATTCAACTGTGGCTGAATTTCTCATATCCATCGCCTTTGTCTTATAAGAAAAAAAAAAAACTTGAAACAAGGGGAGGGAAAAAACGAAATTTCTATGCTCTACACACTCAAACCTCTTTTTGTGCGATTTTTTTTGTACGTTTATGCGTTCCCTACTCAAGCTAAGGCTAAGCCCGCATAAGCGCACAAAAAACACGACGCAAAAACAGGTTTGAGTGTAATGGAGGTTTTTTTGACGCTTCTGTGCAAGTGCAGCAGGACCACCCATAGAATATTTGTGAAAATTTTTATTGTTGCATCTGTTGTGGTTTATCAGGAATAAGCACAAATCGCAATTTTTTTTTTGCCCAAAAAAAGAAATCATGCTCTTCTTAATGTATGTTGCGTTGTAAGTGTACGATTTAGCCGATTCGACGCATTTTATATAAAAATCGACGTAAAAGAACTCGCTTCGTTTTTGCCTAATTTGAAGTCAATATCTTAGCTTTCGCGACCAGAAGCGTGTTTACACAGGCGCACAGATGGACATGGCTTCGACATGGCTGAGTTTTCCTTTCTGCATGTTCTGAAAACTTTTTGACAAAATGCGGTAATGGGTATAAAAAAAAAAAAAAAAACAGTTACCGCTAACAGAGAAGCGACATGTTATAACTATTCGTCATTAACGGCGTCATTGTCGACTGCGCTCCTTTGCCTATGAACAACAGTTAATTTTCATTTTTATTTTTCTTAGCATATTTTACAAAAACACTTTTCTAAGTGTGATTTTGGTAGAATAAAACCTACCTTGGTGTGACATGCATCCATATGAACACTTTAATATCAGGCGACAGACAGACACAGCTACAACCGCTAAGCTTGTTAGCGTGATTACCAACATGTATAGTAATGACATCTTTGACGCATAGTTGGGAATGCTACGAAGGAAAAGACGAACCTCACGCATTCAGTCATAGGTGCAGCAAAAAAATAGGGAGAAAAGAGTGTTCATATCCATTCATGTGTGTATACACCCCTTAATTAATTTGTTTCGCCTCGTACTTTATTACCTTCACGTTTGTATCAATATTCTAAGGAAGGAAAGGAAGTCACCGAAGGCAGTAAACACTTTATTTGTGTATTGGGCCACCGTCTCATATGTTTCGCAGATATCAAAAAATGTCTTGATTCTTTGAAAATGAACTCAAGGTCGTAGGTCTTTTGCCTTTCCTATTAATTTTATCTCGAATCTCAAAGTTGTTCTAGTAAATGTTATTGCGCCTAGATATACTGAAATGATCTGGTTTTTGCCGAGATTTTTTCAGTTGTTTAGCTCTAGTATCGATTATCCAGTGTTCACGGATTCAAACCTCAATCGGTTTGACCATATTTGTTCATTGCTAGTAAGTGCTCACGCTGTAAAATGGCTGCGGGCAATTCCTAACACTTTCACTCTTTTTTACCATCACCGCGTGGAACAGTAGGGGATATCATATTGTTACGAAAATCTCAAATCCAGTTCATTCCAACTAATTGATTTTCCCCCCCCCAAAAAAAAAATAGATTGCCTAGAGAGGCAAAACTCATGCAGCTCCCGGCCTAAGAAAACAACTAGCGGAAAAGCAGGTTAACGGATTAAAATCGAAGCCATGAACTTAAGTAATAGTAATATGCTTGCAACAATGTACATAAACAGACTGTTTACGGAAGGCAAAGTATGTATGTCGGAGGAGAAAATTTAAGTCGATATTGAGAATATTGGAGTTGAGAAGTCGAGAGTATTGCCAAAGTAGAATGTAAACAGTTCTACCATTGAATAAATTGATTGTATGTAAAAGAGTCTTGTAGTGAAAACGTGAGAGTGTATTTTTTTTTAGAAAAACCACGATCTAGCGATAGGAACCGTATCCAGAAAGAAGAATATCATATCAGACCATGTAAAAAAAAAAAAAAATTTACTCAATTTTTTATTCAAATTTCCATTGAGACAACATCGGCGAGTTTGCAGCTTTTTAATCTAATCTTTAGGCCCACCCGGTGATTGAAAGAGAATAAATAGATAGACTGGTCGGATATGACTAAATTGTTGCAAAGAAAAGGAGTATAATATAGATCTAGTATTTCCGAGTATTGCACTTTATAGTACGAGTATTGAGTTAAAGAACGCGATTAGAGATCCATTAATCATTTTTTGAAATGTTTTTTTTTTTTGTTTTTTTTGTTTTAATTTGTAAGCGTTTATCGTCTTTAAGTTTAACTTTGGTACTCTAGACGTATGTTAAACCGTTTAGTAAAAGCCAACTAATTAAAAATATTTTTTGTGAATGTATCCGCATTCACTCAGCTCGCCAGTAAACTGGCTTTGAAAGAACAACAATTGATTGTTGGAAGCGATAAAAACTTAATATTGTATAAAAATTCGTAACAAAGGCAATAAGAATAGAGAGAACTACGTAGCTTAAACAAAGAACATGCAAAAGTTTTTTTTTTTTCTTTTTTTTTAAAAAGCAAGCATGTTTGACTTTACGTTACTTTTTCATATGTTCAATGTTAATGAGGCGCTGTTAACTGCGGCGAGGGATAATGGCTTCGAATAAACCATTGTCAATGTCAACTTAAGACATTAGGTTATACAATAAAATATGTTTTTTTTTTTTTTTTTAGAAGTGATTTAAAAAGATGTACTCGCTAAATGAAGTTAATCTGGGACACCCTCTACTACAATGCGGACGATGATGTTTTGGGAAAGTCCAGCTACGAGAGAAAAGAGAAGGAAAAGCACTCATGTTATTGATGAAAAATTATTACGTTTTGGTATATGTTCCAAATTTTTTTCAGAATTGCAGATGCTTTCAGATGCTGGTGATGCACGGCTCAGGTGCATTACACAAGATATATATATGTACACAATACCGTTTTTCAAGTCTTGTCTTGTAGCTCGGCTAAGTATATGGTATGTGAAAAGACATAGAGATATAGCTTAGTAAACTGAGACTCCAATACTGCTCCCTAGTACATATATATATATGGCGCGGCGGGGACCCTACTATCCTTTTATTTAAATGCTACTAAAGTATGCGGTATGTGCAAAGGCATAGGGATTTAGCTGAGCAAACTGAGATTCCAATACTGCTCCCTAGTACATATGTCGTGGTGGAGACCCTTCTATTTAAATGCTACAAATGAATCGACAGAACTATTATATCTATCTCTGTTCTAAGTGGGAATGAGTTTTAAAGATGGGCGAGAAAAAAAAAACTTAAAATATATTTACTTTTTAAGATTACAAGCGGATGAATGTATCAGTAGGTGTGCACTTGCACGTGCATTTAGGAATTAATTAAACGCTTACATTGATAACAATAACAATTATTTCTGATTGCAGCGTTTTATAAATAGAATACATTGGAAGGTTTCAGTATATTTTTTACATACTTTTGCTTAACTTGTAATTTTCCAATTAAGATAACACCATTTTATTTATATATACAAAAAGTGCATGTTTCACCTTTTTAATGAAATTTACTTGTTAAACGTCAGAGCCAAAAAAAAAAAAAACCAAAAGTTAAAATGGAATGGAAAGTGCGGCTTGAATATTTCAACATCTCTCAGCGTTGCTGTTTTAATTGTATTACGAAATTTCTTCTGCTATGCATCAAGCAGAAGCGCGAACATCATATTAAATTTGTATACTCTTATGTACAAATTCTTACCTAATAACTTACGTATCTAGGGAAAAATTCGAACTTTACATCAAAGGCATCACTTATTTAACCAATGTTAGGTTCATTTATTCCGGAGTTCCACAAACCTAGTAGTATTTGATGTAAGTGCGAATAGACTTTGGCGTATCTTGCGATAGTCAAGAATATAATATTTTTACCTCTGTGGAATATCTAATCCATATTTCTCTATGCTACAAACATATTCAAGTAAAATTTGTGCACGTTACAAACGCGACGATATAACTTGAAATCCCTTATGTTTCGTAGTGGCAGAAAAAGTTATTTATCTAGTAAAAGTTAGTTTACTAGATAACCATCTGTTATTGTAGTAAAACTTAACATTGAGGAAACCATTGAGTAATAAAAGGAAACAGCTTCTACTAGTTTTTTTTATGAGCACAACAGAAGATATATTAGTTATGTCAAAAGTTTATAATGCAATACAAGTGTGCATCGCCTAGTCTATAATTGACATGAACAGCGGAGCGGATTTAGCCATGTCTGTCTTTCCGTCCCTGGAATTCATATAGTGATTAGAAGTTTCAGGAGTTAGTCCGGAAGAATAACTAGATTGATTTCGCATCTTTGCAATATTAAAATCAAATATCACCAAAGTCGCTCAGTGCTCCCGCCCGCATTTACTGATAATTTTCTCCCAATGTTGAGATTTAGCATCCAGGAGCTAAATGATTTTGATTTTTGAGAATTTTAAATCTGTGTGTGTGTTGTACAATTTCTTCAAGTCGACCCAAGTATTCCTTGTACAAAGTATTATCCAACTGCTTATATATAATAGTTGGAAATGCTGCCAAGTTTTGAAAATACATCGTATGGAATATATATGATTTTTGTTTTTTTTTTGGTTGATCAGCCACTCATGGGATGTCAGCTTTATGTATGGGCATAGTGGTGAGGCAGAGAGATAGGAAAGAAGAACTATCTACATGAAGTTTTTAGTCCGAGGTGCTGCTAGGTGGTGTTATGCTCTCCGAGACATATTACATACGAAGTGGTAGAATATTCAATTTCGGGAAAGTTAATGGTCTATACGCTGTTAGGCCTCCTTCGACTAGTCTTGTTCTGACCGTCCATCGACTGACTTCCACTCCTCTCCAACTTCCTGGAGGTATTGCCCGAGTTGAACTGCTTTCAACAGGCGATTTCGTAGTGTTGTTCTGACAAGTAAACCATCGGTCTCTTTAGATAGCTGGGTCACATGCCGAACAGCGTATCGGCTTAAATTTAACTCTCGTGTCACTTGACTTTGGTTCTGCCCAGCTTCAATTTGTGCAGCTACTTGAGACGCTGCTTCCAATGTCCATTTCCTATGCCTACTCTCTGAATAGTTTTGTAGTCGATAAAGAATCTCAGAAGTCAGATTGCGGGTTGGTATGCAAATGATTTCATTTCTATGTATCCTTTTCCTCGTATACCTGCTCAACGTCATGGAAACAGCGCTAACTGAAACGAGCGGTTTTGAATATTTCTATTGTTTTATTGCCACTGCAATGGTTTAAAGGTCAAGAGTAAGCACGATGTGTTCTTCAGAACCCAACAGTGTGTGCTTCAGTTTAAATTAAATTTAGTTTGCAAACATAATAAATACTTAGATTGGAAGTGAAAATGTAGGGGGTGGTGCTCGATTTATTTTTCTCTTGAGTATGTATTTAACGAAGTTGTGCAAGCTATTTAATGGTGAGTAACTTAAATTGTCTATTATGTACATAGTCTACTTACTCAGATGCATACACAATAAACCGAAAACAAGAAAATTTAATTTACAAAAATATATCTGTTTCATCCACATGAATGAGGAAAAACTAATGCTCGATCAAATCGCTGACATAGCAAATCTTCTTGATGAACATATTGCACGCTTCATACTTGTATGAGAATTTTTAGCAAATGAAATGCAAACTTGAAGTGTAGTAGTATAACCTGACGTCCATGAAGAAAGCTCTTTATAAAGGAAAAGAAAAAGGGAACAGATCGAAAATCCTATATTCTATCATCGAGTCCAAGCTGATTATGTACAAGCGGAATCTATCGTAATTCTTCAAGGACATGAAGATAAAATATTAGAGTTCAACAAAGGCATTGCAATGAATTTAATAATTCACTATATCACTTCGCTTAGCACAATTATTCGTCTATTCTCCTGAACTTGTTGTCCAATAAACGCTTTCTTTTCGCAAGAACTCTTGCCTAGAGAGGCGCTCGAGAAATGTGTGGTCCAAACGTGGTGTAGTTGACTTGCTTGTCGAATCGCTATACTCAACCGACTTTCATCATTATAAAATACCAAAATTTGTATCTGATCCTTAAAAATTTACTCTTTATAAGAACGTTTATATGGCAGAAGGCTCGATAATAAATGGACCCATCCTATTCAAGTTTTCATCATTGACTTAGTATGTCAAAGTAATGTTTCCATAGGGAATTAATAAGAAACGGACAAAGATAGCTTTTCTATAATAGGTTTCTATATGGCGCGTAGTCGCAAAAATGCTTCGATTCGAAACATTTTCAATAGCGTTCTGAAAATCAAGACGTGTTTTCGCCCTCGATTTTATTTAAATGTCTCATAAATTGCGGTCTGCGCGTTGAACACAAAGATGCCGCAACAAATATCAGATAGACAAACGATCAAATGTGCTTAAGACAATTCAGAAAATGTCTCCGAATCAATTGTTATAAGAAAAAGTGCCTCTATGCTAAGTAATATAAAGTATCTCGAAAATAGCTGCCAGCGCGTTGAACGTTAAAATATATGTAGGACATCAGGCTGGGAGATAAAAGGACGGACATGCATGATCAGTAGATCTATGTCAAGTTCTTCTCCGTCTTGCAAGCACTTGCAAGGACTTAATACGGAAAAAAAAGCACACAAGCTGATAAGCTTTGCTAAGAACTGCTAAAGTGAACGTCAATTTACTCAAACGGATCATAAAGGTTGACGTGAAAAATATATTTATTCCAGAGAGAGAAGAAATGTATATTTTGTTATTACTTATGTCATCTTACAATAATTTAAACAATCAGATAACGGGTAAATCATTTTTTTTTTCATACAATGTATTTGTAGTCAATTACTTCGTTACCTCTGTTTTGTTTTTTCAATCATATTAACTTTAGATAGTAATGAAGAAGCAGCTTTTGAAAATTTATTTTAAATTATTTGTAAAAGATTTTGTGAGGAATTTTTCCTTTTAATCATAATAAACACTTATCGCCAATTGCTCTTATCTCACAATAATGCATCGATAGGGAAAAAATCGAAAATACGATAAGATAGCAATTCCTCCTCACAAGGTGACATAAACTCGTTCTGAAGTGTTTTGATATATTTACAATCCCACTCATAGGTTTCGATTAAGACGTAGTGGGAATAAAATGTTTTGTTTTACTTTTACTTGTGCCTATGCTTAAGGAAAATTCGTATTAGACCTCTAGAGAGCGTGCCGATTGTTAAATGGGTATCACTTTTATACCCTATAAATATATGGGATGGCTTATGAGTTATTATGAGAAAATTCTCGAAAGATCGGTGTCGTCACATTTTTCTTATGGCTATTTTATCAATCCTCGTTCAAAAATTGAGCGCAGAACTTAACCTATTAAAAAATCCAAGAGATTAGGTTGTGTACGCTTTAACACGATCCGTTGCATATTAATTGCAGGCCGTACTCTCAAATGAAGAAGTCACAGTGTTATTCAGCAACTTACGGCACTACTTACTATTTACTCTCTCTTAGAAAGCGGACGAGTCGAATGCCTATCGAATCATATCGTAGTAGACGAGCATGAAGAGGTCCACTACAAAACTTCCAAAGGGCTGTCAGGCATAGTTGAGCCTAGTTGACGTTCTTGAAAAATGCCTTTTTCACGGCTGCTGCTATT